TCCCAGAACTGGTGCTAGAGCAGCAGCTGGATCGTGAAGCCCAGGCAAGACATCAGCTGGTGCTTACTGCTGTGGATGGGGGAACCCCAGCTCGCTCAGGAACCACCCTTATCTCTGTCATCGTGCTGGACATCAATGATAATGCTCCAGTCTTCCAATCCTCAGTTCTACGTGTGGGAATACCAGAGAATGCACCCATTGGTACTCTGCTGCTCCGCCTCAATGCCACTGATCCAGACGAGGGCACCAACGGCCAACTAGACTATTCTTTTGGAGACCACACATCTGAGGCAGTGCGGAACCTCTTTGGTCTAGACCCCAGCAGTGGGGCAATCCATGTGTTGGGTCCCATAGATTTTGAGGAGTCGAGTTTCTATGAAATTCATGCAAGAGCCCGTGACCAGGGACAGCCTGCCATGGAGGGCCACTGTGTGATTCAGGTGGATGTGGGGGATGTCAATGACAATGCCCCAGAGGTGCTACTGACCTCTTTGGCCAACCCTGTCCTAGAGAGCACACCAGTGGGCACAGTAGTGGGGTTGTTCAATGTGCGAGACCGAGACTCAGGTAGAAATGGTGAAGTGAGCCTTGATATCTCTCCAGACCTGCCATTTCAGATTAAGCCTTCTGAGAACCACTACTCGATGCTAACCAGCCAGCCCTTGGACCGGGAGGTCACATCCCACTATATCATCGAGCTGCTGGCCAGCGATGCTGGCTCACCTCCCCTGCACAAACATCTCACCATTAGGCTCAACATTTCAGATGTTAATGACAATGCACCCTGCTTCAACCAGCAGCTTTACACTGCTTACATCCCAGAAAACCGGCCTCCAGGCTCCCTTCTCTGCACCGTGGCTGCCTCAGATCCAGACACTGGGGATAATGCCCGGCTCACCTACTCCATTGTAGGAAATCAGATTCAGGGAGCCCCAGCCTCCTCCTTTGTGTATGTCAACCCAGAGGATGGACGGGTCTTTGCCCAGCGTACCTTTGACTATGAATTGCTGCAGATGCTGCAGATTGTGGTGGGGGTTCGAGACTCCGGCTCTCCACCATTGCATGCCAACACATCTCTGCACGTGTTTGTCCTGGACCAGAATGATAATGCCCCAGCTGTGCTGCACCCACGGCCAGGCTGGGAACACTCAGCCCCCCAGCGTCTCCCTCGCTCTGCCCCTGCTGGCTCCTTGGTTACCAAGGTGACAGCTGTGGATGCTGATGCAGGCCACAATGCATGGCTCACCTACTCACTGTTGCCACAGTCCACAGCCCCAGGACTGTTCCTTGTGTCTACACATACTGGTGAGGTGCGCACAACCAGGGCCTTACTGGAGGATGATTCTGACACCCAGCAGGTGGTGGTCCTGGTGAGGGACAATGGTGATCCTTCGCTGTCCTCCACAGCCACAGTGCTGCTGGTTCTGGAGGATGAGGACCCTGAGGAAATGCCCAAATCCAGTGACTTCCTCATACACCCTCCTGAGCGTTCAGACCTTACCCTTTACCTCATTGTGGCTCTGGCCACCGTCAGTCTCTTATCCCTAGTCACCTTCACCTTTCTGTCAGCTAAGTGCCTTCAGGGGCACGCAGACGAGGACGGGGGTGGAGGGCAGTGCTGCAGGCGCCAGGACTCACCGTCCCGGGACTTCTATAAGCAGTCCAGCCCCAACCTGCAGGTGAGCTCGGACGGCACGCTCAAGTACATGGAGGTGACGCTGCGGCCGACAGACTCGCAGAGCCACTGCTACAGGACGTGCTTTTCACCGGCCTCGGACGGCAGTGACTTCACTTTTCTAAGACCCCTCAGCGTTCAGCAGCCCACAGCTCTGGCCCTGGAGCCTGACGCCATCCGGTCCCGCTCTAATACACTGCGGGAGCGGAGCCAGGTGAGGGGCTCGGCGCCGCCCCGGGCGACCCCTGGGGGCGGCACTGGAGAAGCCGCCGGTCCTCTTAAAGGACTGAACTTGCATCCACTCCTCCTGGCCCTTTCGGGCGCTGGCTGCGCTCCACCCGATTCTCGGGACCTTTGGACTGTGCGCGGAACCAGAGGAGTGGCGAATTAGGGATGGGACTCCGAGCACCGGGGGGTGGTGGCGACCATGGGTGAGGGAAGGTGGGACTGACCCCCACTCTCACACTCAGAAAAGGCTGGGGACCCGGTCGAACTTCCGATGAATTTCAGGCGATTTCCGCGGGTGTCGGGGGTCCCGGGAGGAGGCAGTCACAGATCCACCCCTGCAGCCAGCCTCCTAGGCGCCGGCTCCGGCTTGCTTGAGGGTCTTTAGGTTTCCTCTTCGGTTTCTCCCCAGCTCCCAGCATCTGTGATTTCGCCGTTACCCTCCCTATCTCAGCATCACCCAACCGCATCTGTCTGCAGGACTTAGGTGTGCGCGCGAGGCTCCTGCGCGTCCTCCCTGCAGGCCACTCCCACGGCCCACACACGGTGCACAGGCTTGCCACGCCTCGCCAAACGTGCGCGGACGCACGCACACACGCGTCGCACTTAGGCTTACGCGAATACCAGCTTTCGCTCCCACCTGCTCGCGGCCTGGTTCACAGGCCTGTCCCTGGCCACTTGCAGCTCCCCTCCGCCGCTCCCTCCTCTGGGCTCAGGGGTACTCATAGCAGATTGTGCCCGCCTTAGTGAAGGTCCCAGATCGGCGGCTGCCCAGGTCCAGGTGAGGACTCCAGAGCTCACTTCTCCCACCTGCGCCCTGGGCTGGGCTGGGTCGCCTGGGGGCGGCCTGAGCGAGGCGCGGCGCGGCGCGGAGACCGCTGGAGCAACTCAGCGCTCTAAGCGCCGGGCGGGCAGGACTCTACGACCCAAGGTCCAGATGGGCCCGGGGCTCCTCTCGAGGGTGGCGACCCCTCAACCCAGAAGCCTCGGGCAGGCGGACAGGCAGAGCTGCCCGGTAGCCGGAGGTGCGGCAGGGCTCGGTCTGGGGCGAGTGAGTCTCTATAGGACAGCAGGCCTGGGACTCCAGTGGCACCAGCTGCCCCTTCCTCTAGGAAGTGGAAACCTGGAGCGCCCTGGCTTTCAAAGCCCAGAGATACAGGCTTTTGGCGCCGTCGTGATCACAATGTGCCCAGCGATTTAGGGTCAGAGATTTGGAGGGGACCAAAGTATCTGAGACTCTAACAAGTCCTTTCTCCTCTGGCAGATGGAAAGCTACAGGATCTGCCTGATGCCAGGGTGCCCTTATGTATGAGAAAACTACAAAAGTAAAAATCACAAGTTTCCCCAACTCCAGGAGCTTTTATTCAAAATATTATCTATGCCTAACTCTGCCCCTATAGAATCAGGATTGTATTCTGAAACACCCCCAGGTGATTTTGATAGCTGATTGAGAGAAACTTACTATACAACTCCTTTAAGAACCTCATCTCATTTGCTTTTCCTAGCATTGCTATTGGCTAGGTACTAACATCTGTCTCTTATAACAGCTTCACAGAGGTCAAGTGACTTGCTCAAGTTCACAGAGCAAGTAAGAGGGAATCTAAATCTAACCCCTGTCTAACTCCAGAATTTGTGCTTTGAATTTCTTGGCACTTGGAACTTTAAAAGCTGGAGGACAGGAGAGGAGGGGGTTTGCCTCTGCTGGGATTTTGTCTTTGCTGGGATGGGGCAAGGGTGGAGTTCCTTCTATTTGAGGACATCACCTGTGGGGAAAGTCTCCTGTGGCTTCTCATTTCTGAGCAGCGCTCGCAGCGCAAACTTAGCCCAGTTGTCCTTATGTAGGTTGAGTTTCCCCCAGCTCCCTTTCCTGCTGTCACAATCACTGCATCACGGTGTAGATTCTGCTGTGTCTAAGAATACAGTGGCTGAGGGCTGGCCATCCCTGTGCTTTTCTCCAAGGCAGCCCCAGAATGATGCTGCTGACTCCTGATGCACCTGGAATGCTAGGTTTCTGGGTTCTGCTCACATCACTGCCACCTGTGAGCCTTAGAGTGAGTCACTGGCAGTTCTGGAGCTTCCTTCTCCCTGGAGTAATCTAAGATACTCAAACTCTCTGCTTCTGGGAGCAAGTGTGAGTATTAATTACCAGCCCACAGCAGAACCAGTGAGGAGTTGGCTGTAGGAGTGCTCCATGAGAATGTGATGGGATAACACATCCCCTGGAAAGATCAGAGGGACTTGGGAATAAAGTGGCTGGCCAGAGCCCCGCACCTTCAGCTGGGTGGGAGATGACTACAAATCAGCCCCTTGGGATCCCTGGAGACTTAGTTGGCCCTGCTTGGAGGCTGTGGGAGCTGGATCCCTTCCCTCTGCATCCCTTCCATTTTTCTCTGTCTCAGACAGAGCAGCCTTGTTCTCTTCTCCTTAGTCACAGACCATTGTCTGGCACAGAGTTCTAGGAGTGAGAAGTGTCCCGGGACTTGGATGCCCTGCAAAGGCCCAATCTGGCATGACTCCTAAATTAATAATGTATTTAGCTGTGGGAAGAGATCCTTGCGAGCCAAGGGGCTGAAGGAGGTGTCCCTTTGAATGTGACACTGCACAACCTGGCACCAAAAGGGTTACCCGGAGCAGCAGCCATCTTGCTGCAGAGGATGCTTTGTTTCCCAGCTGAGGAGCTGAATAAATTCATTCTAGGGCTGGTGGAATTCTCATTGAAAAGCGTCCTCTGCCACTTTAGGGGGCTTTCTCTGCATCTTTTCCCCCAGTTCCACAGAAGATGCCTTCAGTCCTTGAATTTTGGCTCAGGAGTCCTGACTCTGGGGTCAGGGAGGAAGGAGCCATTTGTGTAGGAAAGGAGCCTAAGCTTGCTCACTGTAGTCAGATGAAATGTGATTTATCTCTTTGTTTCTGGTACCTCAGACCTCGGAGACCTGAGATATATTTTGTCTTTGGAGATGAGTCCACCCCTGCCCTTTCTTAGCCCGTTTTCTTCTCTGTGCCCCCTCCCCTCCTTCTCTCCCGGCCCATCCCCAGGGGCTCGGGTGACATTCTGACTTCTCACAGGTACTCAGCCCCTTTCCCTCTGTTTTCTCCACAGCAAGCTCCGCCCAACACGGACTGGCGTTTCTCTCAAGCCCAGAGACCCGGCACCAGCGGGTAGGTGACTGATTCTGTAGCCCACCCTCTTCTCTGCGGCATTTTCTCAGGGATGACGTGGGAGGAGATGGGGGGAGGGCTCAGCATTTGCCACAAATGGCTTATCTCTCAGTTTGAGATTCCAGGGAGTTCTTGGTGTGTGGGGGGCTGACACACAGACCCCAGAAGGAAGAGGCGCCTGCACTGACTGTTCTGGAACGCAACTCACAGACTTGCCCCTTCCCTCCTCCCTACCACCTGGACCTTTTCCTATTCCCTGAGGGCTCTATGGAAACAAAGGATGGTCTTAAGCTGGTCTCTGGGTGAAAGCAAGGCTTTCTATACCCATGTACTGCCTAACCCCCTCCTCTGAGTTGAGCTGGGCTCTATTCTGAACCCCGGTTCAGGCAGAAAACCATTTGACCTAAGGAGGCCATCCGCAGTCAGCGCCTCCTCCCAAGCCTCCAGAGCCGAGGCCCACCAGAGCCTGGGTAGAGTGGAGGCAGCACAGCTGGAGACGGGACTGAGGAAGGACTGAGCATTGCTCGGAGCAGGCTTCCCTCATCCGGCCCTCCTCCCACTGTCCTCTGCCCCTACTTGTCCTGCCCGCTCTGTCTGCAAGGTCTCCATGTCTCTGCCCCTTTTTCTTGAGTTTCTGTCTTTGCCACTTTCTCTTACCTCTGGGTCCTTCGTTCAGTCTCTACCTCGCTTTGCAGTCTCTGCCTCTCCCGCTCTTCTCTATCTCGGTCTCAGCCTCCGTCCTGATTGCTGTGCCCTCCATCCCTGTCATTTGTCTACTCGCATTGATCTGTGCTGCCCACTGTGCCCGCCATGGCATAAGTGCTCAGTACATGTGGAGTGAGTGGCTACACGAGACTCAGACTCAGTCTCTTTCTCCTTCTCTATCTCTGCCTCCCTGTCCTTGTCCGGGACCTCTTTACTGTTTCTCCTTTCGCCATTTCCTAGTAGTGCTCTTGTGTTCTATCCTCAGCCTCTGTGTTTCTCTGTCTCACTATTTCTGCTTTGCTCTCTGTTCTCAGCCTTGCTGCCTCTCTTTCTTTGTCTCTGTCTCTGTGCCTGTTGCCTTTTTCTGCCTCTTTCTCTGTTACTCTTTATCTTTTTCTTTCTTTTATCATGTCTTTTTCTCTGAGCCTCTGTCTCTCGTTTTTTTTTGTACTTGTGGGCAAGCTAGCACACACCCACCCCCACACACTCTCTCCCTCCCTTGCCCCTCACACACAGAGCCTTTGATCGCAGCTCTCTACCACACACCCTCCCATCCAGGCAGCCCCAGCTGCTCATTTCAATCTGGTATGAATTCCTGCTGAGACAGGAACCCCCTGCGGGCTGAAGGGGAGGGAAACTTCAGCAGAAAGACCTTCAGTTGGTCTGAACAGAGTGGGATAGGCTCTGGGCCAGGCCTCCCAGTTAGAAGTCTGGAGGAGTCCCGGAGCCCAGTGAGAGAAGCAGGAGCTTAGGCCACCTTACCCTACCTCCTCGATGGCTGTGTACTGCTGTCCACATTTGCCAAGTTGCTATAGATGTGGAGTTTCCAAGAATCTTCTCTCCCCATCCCGCAACCAACCAAAGCCTTGCTGCCATGAGGATCCAGGATCCCTTGGTGTATGGCAGAGATTCCAGCTCCTGGGCATGCACAGTCCTGTCACTGGTTTTAGGAATGCAAGGTGCTTCCTAGAAGGCCCCTGAAAAGCAGCAGATCAAAAGGCTTGGGCTGCCCTTGCCCCTCCTTTGACCCCAGCTGTTGCCCTTCTCCCTGCTGGCCTTGCCAACCTTCTCATAAGTTATTCCATTAAGTCATTAATGTATTCATTTATTCAACAGATATTTATCGAGCATCTACTATGAGCAGGGCCCTGTGCTACACATTGGGCCATAAGAGTGAACAAGTAGGCCAGACACGGTGGTTCATGCCTGTAATCCCAGCAGTTTGGGAGGCCAGGGCAGGTGGATCACAAGGTCAGGAGTTCAAGACCAGCCTGGCCAACATGGTGAAACGCTGTTTCTACTAAAAATAAAAAAATTAGCTGGGCGTGGTGGTGTCTGCCTATAATCCCGGCTACTGAGGAGACTGAGGCAGGAGAATCACTTGAGCCCGGGAGGCGGAGGTTGCAGTGAGCCAAGATTGTGCCACTGCACTCTAGCCTGGGCAACAGAGTGAGACTCCATCTCAAAAACAACAACAACGACAACAACAACAAAAAAACAAGAGTGAGCAAGTAGATGTGATCCCAGAACTCATAGGCTCCTAGGCCAGCAGAGGAGACAGAAAATTTGCAACAAGTAACACACACACACAAAAATACTGGGTGCTGTGGCTTACACCTATAATATCAGCACTTTGGGAGGCTGAGGTGGGCAGATATTTGAGGTTAGGGGTTCGAGACCAGCCTGGTGGCCAACATGGTGGAACGTCATCTCTACTAAAAATTAGCCAGGTGTGGTGACAGGCACCTGTAATCCCAGCGACTTAGAAGGCTGAGGCAAGAGAACTGCTTGAACTGGGGAGGCAGAGGTTGCAGTGAGCTGAGATCATGAAAAAAAAAAAAAAAAAGAATCTAGCTATAAATCGTAGTAAGTTCTGAGAGGCAGAGAACAATGTGAGTGTAATGGGGAGGAAGATCAGGGAAGGCTTCTAGGAGGCGGTGACATTGCGAAGTTCTAGGCCATTTATGTTCCCCCTACCTGCCACCCCAGGCCATACACTGTGTTTGAAGCAGAATTCACTGTTGAACCTGGAAGCCCCACCAACTGCCTCTCATGTGTCCTCTGGGGTGAGCACCTTACCCCTGTCTCAACTCCCTTTTCACCAAATGAGAGGCTTAGTGGCCTGGAATACATGTGGGAGCTCTTGGAGATGTGGAGGAGAAGGTGCGGAACCTCTCTCTCTCTCTTTTTCTCTCTCTCTCTCTCTCTCTCTCTCTCCTCTCTCTGCTTCCTTAGTTACTTTGTGGGGGATGCAACAAACTTTTTTTTTTGAGATAGAGTCTTGCTCTGTCACTCAAGCTGGAGTGCAGTGGTATAACCTTGGCTCACTGCAACCCCTGCCTGCCAGGTTCAAGTAATTTTCTGGCCTCAGCCTTCGAGTAGCTGGGACTACAGGTATGCACCACCACACCCAGTTCATTTTTGTATTTTTAGTAGAGACAGGTTTTACCATGTTGGCCAGGCTGGTTTCAAACTCCCCCACCTCAAGTGATCCACCCGCCTCAGTCTCCCAAAGTGCCAGGATTACAGGTGTGAGCTACTGCACCTGGCCGCAACAAACATTTTTGATTCAGTGGCTCCAAAGTGGCCAAGATGAAATAAGTTAGGATCTAGTCCAGTAACTTCAGCTTCTCGCCTTCCTTCATTCAACAAATGGTCAGTGAGCACTTTCTATTGGCCAGGCAGTGTTCTCGATGTGGGAGGCCCCTGCCCTCAAGGAGTTTATAGTGCGTTGAAGGAGACGATTATTGACCAAATAATAACAAAAATAAGTGTGAGACTGAAGCTGTCATAAGCACTAGGAAGAATTGTACCTGGTGGTGAGGGCATATAATAGGGATTTGACCTAGGGGGCAGGAGGACATGCTGGAGGAAATGAAGTTGTACTGAGATCTGAGAGATGAATATAAATTAACCAGCTGAAAACAAGAAGGAAGAGCGTTCTAGATGGTCAGGCACACCAGCTTCAAAGCAGGGCTAGTGTTGACTTCTTCAGTAAACTTGGTTCAACTTCAAGCCAGTACTGGGTCACACTGCCTCCGCAGAAGGAACAGCATTCCAGATGGGGGGAAAAGTCTATGCAAAAGCCCTGTGGTGAGGCCCCCTGGGATGAAGAAAATGACAGGGAATTTTCTCTTTGCTGCCATTGAAGTGAGGAGATGAAGAAGAGAGGTTTGTTTTATTCAGTCTAACCCTGGTTCCAGCCTTCCACTGCTGCCCTGACTCTCTCCGTCCCCACCACATTGCCCATTGCCCTCCAGCCTGGTCTGGTCAGGCACACCAGCTTCAAAGCAGGGCTAGTGCTGAGTTCTTCAGTAACCTTGGTTCCAGTTCAAGTCAGTACTGGGTCATACCACCTAGACAGAAGGAAGAAGACCTGGCCTTTGGGAGACTGAGGTGGGCAGATTACCTGAGGTCAGGAGTTAGAGACCAGCCTGGCCAACATGATGAAACCCCATCTCTACTAAAAATACAAAAATTAGCCTATCATGGTGCTGCACACTTGTAGTCTCAGCTACTCGGAAGGTTGAGGCAGGAGAATTGCTTGAACCCGGGAGGCGGAGGTTGCAGTGAGCTGAGATCGCACCCCTGCCTTCTTCCAACCTGGGTGACGGAGCGAGACTTCATCTCAAAAAAAAAGAAAGAAAGAGAGAAAGAGAGAGAAAGAGAGAGAAAGAAAAAACAGAGAGAGAGAAAGAGAAAGAAGAAAGAAAGAAAGAAAGAAAAAGAAAGAAAGAAAGAAAGAAAGAAAGAAAGAAAGAAAGAAAGAAAAGAAAGAAAGAAAGAGAAAGAAAGAAAGAAATGAAAAGGGGGAAAAATGAAGAAGACTTATATTCTTAAGTCCCTGCCTGCCACATGCTTCTCCTCCCCACCACTATCCCTTCTCAGGTCATCCTTTGGCCATCTGATCCCAATAGCTGTTGTCTCAAGTTCTGAGCCCAAAAAACCATTTCCCCCTTCTCAGGCGTTACCCAGGCCCCGTCCTGCAGCTGTCCCCATCCTCTGCAGAAAGAGTCTCCATTCAGCTTCCCCCGGTCCCCAGCTTCTTGTTCTTTGGTGGCTCCACAATACCATCCCTCCTCCTCTGAGAGACAATATCCCTGCTCTCTCTCAGTTTGGACAGTCATTCAACAAACAAATAGCAACTTAATTTTTTTCTGCTTATAAAATAGTACATGCTTATTGTAGAAACATGAGAAATAGAAAAAAAATTAAAAGGAAAACCACCCATCATTCTACAATCTAGGGAGAACCACCACCAGCTACTAATTTAATATGAAACATTTCAAATATGT